TTTTTGAACGAAGCCCACTCCACCCTTGGGTGCAGTCTTTGGAAATCGAGAAAAAAGTATGAATCTTTAAATAAAACACAACGAATTCATTTACTTTACAACTGTTACAAACTGTTAATTTTGCTGAATTAAATTGTTTTCTCGAGAGATTGACAATTATTTGTTGGTGTAACTTCTATTTGACTTTGAAGTAACTGTGAAAACAAAAGAGCTGCATCAGAAAAAGTAAAGTGTTATCTTTTGCTTGTTTTTACCTAATGTATTAAAAAGAAGAAGAAATATTTTCTTCTTTCTTTCCTTCGTTAACAGTGAAACACAACCATCATTCCATTGTCGGTTATTTGAAGTTCTATATGAATTCCTTTTTTTGGTATTTGGTTTATTTTTCACACATCCTGTGTGTACAGCAAAATCATGAACGTTGTTGTTGATGATGTTATAAAGGCTGCAGTTGCTCGTGAATCAAATCGTGCAATAACCATACCATTTTTCCACCTTCAGATCGCATCGGTAGTAGGAAAACTGAAGATGGGTGAAGTCATAACAGAGGGAAGTTTTTTTCTTCAGATCATGTGCTGTTTCTGGTTTTACTGATCTGTCACAGAAGTAGAGTCTGAAAATCTAAGAAAATTAATCTTCACGAGACCATCTGTTATGGTATCGTCTGTTATGATCGTCACATGAATTAACACACTCGTCTAATGTATGATGCATTTCAACAAATAGAAGATTAGAATATCTAAGATGCTGACGAAAGACCGTTTAAAGTTTTTCATCACTCTTTTAGGTCATTGTGGATAGTATTGTTGTGAACAGCTGATGATGTGTTTGATATATTCGGTGACTTTGGACACATAATGAAAAGCTCAAAATGCATTGATTTTGAAAATTTATTCCTGTTGACAGATGTAGATTAATATCACATGATCGATTTGGCAAAATGTTTGCATCCGGCGAAAGATGGTGACTTCTTTCTGAGGTTTTGTTTTTCCTTGTCGTAAAAGTGCGTTCGATGATTTGCAGGGCCATTTGCCAGTTTGCGAAACACAACCGTTCGTTCGACAACAGCACCACCCGCTGTATTTTTGTGTAAAATGCAACTACTATCGGCGCCAAAACAATATGCGTGTGGCTGTTTTTTGAATAACTTTTGACAGGAATGAGATAGAGACCTGTGATTTGCGCTGTTTGATAGCCAAGACTAGAGCAGAACTTTTCACAAGCGGGAATAACTTTCGAGAAAATTTCAAAGATCGGATTTTCAGAGGCTCTTTGGAAAAGCAGCTTCGTTCTCAGAACAATAACATACAATGTTGGTAATCTTTTTACATGCATAGATAGTCCGGAAGCTACTCTACAAAATTATACAAGTGTTATGAATCGATAAATAATAATACGTTTATTCATAAACGCAAGAAAATAGGTCTCAATCAAAAATAATAAAATCACTAACAAAAATCATCTGTTTACATGGTAACAATAGTTTCGTAGCGCAACTTATAATCGAGGCTAACTCATCACATAACACAAGTCCCGGCTCTCCAGCTATCGTCGTTCGGACAGGGAACGCTTTCCCCGAGTACGTGTCTATCTCCGAGCAGACATCTCTGGAAATCTCGAAATGCCATGAAATATAGGTAATCGACTACGCTTAGCGTAGTGGCAACATTTGCTTTTGTGTAGAAATGAATATAACTTCGCCAGAGACATTTTTGTGAATAACCGTTTTTTCGACTGTTACTAGCAAAAGTTAAAATCCTTATATCTCTATTATATCCCGTTTGTGAAAAGTTTCGCTCGGGTCTTGGCTATCGAACAGCGAAAATCGCAGGTCTCTATCTCATTCTTATCAAAAGTTATTCAAAAAACAGCCATACGCACATTGTTATGGCGCCGATAGAAGATCCAAGTAACAAAATGCTGGTATCGCTCTTTCCTGTTAAGTGCATACGTGTGCTGTAGCGCTATTCATCCACTTAAGTACCACCGCCGCTTAAGCACCACAAAAAATATGGGATTTTTGCACTTGCACTGCATAAGCGCAGACATGTGTCGCACATGTTCATTACATCCGCCATGGTCGATAACCTATAACAAATTATTTAATGCACCATTAGCGCACCAAGCTGTATATACGCTGAAGTGCTTTCGATGAACAGACTTGCAATTGCTGAGAAAAGAAATTTTTACGAATTTCATACGATTTTGACCCTTTATTTAAAAAATGTATAAAAAGTTCCAAATTAAAGCTGGAACTCTTATTGTTACGCAGTTCGATAGAGCGCATTAGGTGACATATACCCCCAAGTCATAATGAAAATTGAACCAACTGTGTCTGAGAAAATTAACAGTTTTCATTCTAGTGCATACTCCCGCTAGTTCACTGGAGTGACCATTTGTAGATCGATGACAAAAAATTAAGAAAGCATAGAATTTAAAAACTTTGGGACCATATATGAAAAAATCTCGAAAAAACCCTTGAACGAAATTTTTGTGATTATTCCTGAATGACCTATGAAATATCGAAAATCAGCCGCCAGACTGAAAATTTTACCAAAGTTCAATGTTAAAAAATGCATATTCTCACCAATGGTCATAAGACCGCCGAAATTTCTTAAAGATACAAATTTTAATTTCTTAAAGATACTACTCAAGGTACTCTACAAACTGGCTTAGTTTGAGTCAGGTTTGTAGGCGGTGCATCAGTTTTAGATTTACTGACTGCTTCTTTGCTGTTGATTTCATGTTGTTACCAGGGATTCCAGATCGTCTGATTTTAGCAGAAAGAATCTGATTTTTGGAGTTTTTTCAATCTCGTGTATGATGTTCTGATTTTTAGAATCTCTGTTTGATATTGAACGAAAATTTGTTCTATAAGTTTTTTTTCTAAAAACAAAAGAAAAATGGGTATCAGAAGAAACAACTTTCTGATTTTTTTTCTGATTTTCGTCTTTTAGATATGAGATCCCTGATTGTTACAGTTAAATGCCACTTTGACGAGACATGTTTTTGAATACTATATTGGGACGGTCAATCGTAAAAGATTGAATTTACTGCCTTTCTGTAACACCATAGCACAATCAAATATGGAAAAAAGGTAACAAAACTTACGGCGTTACGTGCACAAGCCCTATTACAATACTTACAAGACAAAAGGTAGAATTATAATTCCTCTTAAAGTACTAAATCTGTTTCCAGTAGCGGCGACTCGATCATCGCTAGAAAACTAGACGTCACTGAGCGTGATCTAGAATGCTGAAAAGGTTGTGGAAAAATATTCATAAAAGTTTAATTAAAAATGCTCGGATAATTATAAAAGAATTTTCTAATTACGTTTTTCGAAGTTTAAAATTGGAGAAAGCAAAAAAAAGCATTTTTTAAAAGGTATTTGTTCATTACCCTCAGTTCCAATAACAGGAAAACCAACAAAAGGGTCTCATGTAGGATGGATTACTCCTATTCTCTCTCTCTTTCTGTTTCATCAAATGTATTTCCACAGTTGGGCCGAGTGCCCATCCCCCTCCCTCCCCGCATTAATTTAAATGATGGTTTTATCACCAACTAACTAAATGAAAAAAACATTTTGCAGAAAAAAGCTCGCGCAGTCAAAAATTTTCGTCGATACCTCTCAATTTTTTTGTAGAAAAGTGATTTAAATTTAGAAGAAATCGTAAAAAAAATGTTTACTTCCTCCCAATCCTGAGTGTCTCGGGCCATCTCTGTGTGTATCGTTCAGAGGGTTAGTCGAGGGCTAAGTTCTTCTCTGATAGTTGAATCGAATAAAACTCAAAGAAGTAAAATTGGTAGACAATATTAACTGATTTTTTCCAACTAAATATTATTGTGTTTTTCTTCTTTGTCTCACATTATCTCAAATATAGAGTTTTATTACTTTTTGTTTTCATTTCATTTGCCAACAGTAAAGTAAATTACATAACTTATTATTTACTTTTTTTTGTCACCAGTTTTTTATACTTCTGTCGATATGAGTAATAGAAACGAAACGTGGTATAAGATCATTTGAACGAAACAGCGAGCGCATAGGTGTGTAGTATTTTAGTTAAAAAGAAGTGAACACATCACTTCCGGTGAAGAAATACATATTCAGAATTATATTGAACTTATTCACTTTTTTCAATTCCAATTCTCTTCCACCTCGTTACTGGAGGATGGTGGATACTAGCCAATCAGAAAAGGAAACGACGAAGAATTCAGTTTTTTCCAACTTAAAAAAAACAGGTATATAAAGCTGTATGTGAAGCAAAGTAATTTTGTTTCTAGCAAAGCGGAGACATCCACATTTTATTCAAGCAAACTATTTTGTAGTTATTTGCTTATTTAATAATTCCATAAAGTTATTTAGTATTTGTATTCAACCGAGGTAAGAATTTTTATTTAGAACACCGCACATAATAATCTGGATCTTAAAAAACGTGTTTAGAGTATTTTTTTCTCAAAAGAACGTGTCTAACTACGAGCAGCCCTTATAGACTCAAACTTTTCGTGCAACAAAGCTCGTACATGGTACTTCAAAAAAAGTTTCACGCCTTCGTCTATGGGCGCGGATGGACGTTCTGTCCTAGGACATCCGTGAGCAAAAATGTTTTTTCGTAATAAAATAAGATAAACCTTACCGACCATCGTTTTTGTCTTGCATCGGTGTTCAGTTACTATTAGCCCTACTACACTGAATATCCGTTCTACAGCAGCTATTGCTGCGGGTATCGAATGAATTTTTCACTTTAGCCAGAATCCGAGCGAACTTTACTCTAAGAAGAAAATAAATTTTCGTTTCCGCTCGTAGGCGGATAAAAACGTCCCTATGCATCCGTGGGAGATCCTCGCAAAACTTTTTTCAGTCATAGATGCCGGGGGCGTAGGCACCCAGGGACGTCCTCCGCCATAATGGGCCCTGCTAGCTACCACAGCACAAAAGATTCAATGTTTTGGTGAAAAAAGTTTTCAAAGTATAACCTGGTTTTACTTTTCTTAGGATCAGCATGGCAAGTGATGATAGTGATGAGACAGAAAAGCAGAGTAAACGAGGCTATTTTCGAAGAATTACGACAAATGCTTTTCATCGACAGTCAGAAGCATTTTATGAACATCCAATAGTTCGTGTATCATCAGTAAGTGTTTGTACCCAATATAAAATTGATGTTTTTTTCAATTTGTATGGAGATTCGAAGGATTGTAAACACAAATAAAGTTACGTTTTGTTGTTCAAATTTTTCAAACTTCTTTTACAGTTTGCTTGCAAATGAGTACCAGTTCCTAACAGTCTGATTACACGCGCATTCCTCAAGACTGCTTTTCTGTAACTTTTCTCTTAAGCAGTCTCGAGGACTGCGCGTGTAGTAAAGGCCAGTTCAGGTTTCTAAAGTTTGAGCTTTTCTGTAACGAAAAAAGCGGTTATAAAACAAAATTTAGTTAGAACAAACAAGTTGAGGTTAAGATATCAAACTCGTTTCTTCAACAAGAAGCAAGTATAGGGAGAAGATTTTTTTTTATAGTGAATAAAACTATTCTTCTGTCAACGTCTCACATTTATTTTTTTCTGCTTTTAGAACATAAAACGAGAGTATATAGTAACAACAACCACAAATCAATCAAAATGTAAAATATTAAAACGAAATGATTTTGAACAGCAAGAAAATGTTGTGATGGACTCTCACGTATCAGCAATAGATGATGTAAGTTCATTTCATTATAGAGAGTAGCACGAGTAAATTTTTCGGGACTCGCCGCCGTTCAGAATGAAGAATATTTTCAAAAATTTGCTTCTTTTTCTAGTTTTGTTTCGTGTTATTGAACGAAAAAATCGCTGTATTAACCCTTTCTTGCCTTTGGCTAAACTTAACGGTTCTGAAGGACAATAGAAGTGTGCAGGATGCACAATCCACCCTGTCCTATTAGGATAGGGTAGGTTAAGTGTACGAAACATTTTATAGGGTAAGGTAGGGCACAGGTTGACGCGTTTGTCATAGACTGTACCTATGAGATAAAGAACGCTTAGTATTGCGAGACATTCGATGGTTCAGTGTAGTAGGGAAGGGTTATCAGCCTAACACTACACTACTGTTAACAAATTGTCGACATTTTCTAATCTGTCTAATAAAGCAAGTTCAAGTGAACTAAATTTTTATAAAATGGTCCCTTTAGGAGGCCATAGGGCAAGAAAGGATTAAGATCACTAGTATCAATAGTAACCAACTTAGAACCTGTTCTAACTTAAAAATCTTGATCCGAGACGACTGATCTTTCGAATGTCCTGCGACGATCCGGCCCTAGTTGCTCGCTGTATCACTACATAGTCGACTGTACTATGGCACTTATGTCACCTTCGATTTAGGATATTTCCATTTCAAGTTTATTTGACTGTACATTTAAAACTGATACACTCATGATCAGCAGTAATCAACGCGATCCTGTTAATCGATTAGGTTTATCTGCTTATTCACCAACAATAACTGTAATAAGATCATCCAATCAACGACGTCCAAGTACAAGTACCCTTCTTCACTTAACACTTTTCTTTTTACTGCTTTTGTTACAAACCTGGCAGTTCTGACTGCCGATCGCTTCATCACCAAGTCTGCGACGTTTTTTATGGATAAACTCAATGAACGTTAATGAATTTGGTTTACCAGCGCATTCAGCTAAATTTAAACATCAACAAGCGTTTAGTTTATTAACACTGCATTTAAAGTCTGTTTGGATTTTGTTAACAGATGATTTGAAATTCAATGGTTTAACTGGAAATGGCAATGTTAATATGATTGCATTCGACTGTGGTTATTACATGAATCTGTGCTATGGTGCATTAACCACAATGAATAAATTCCTTTGTTACTCGGAAACGTATTTCTACCAGAAGAAGTCACCATGGAAATTATTCTTCGGACGAGATAGGTTTGAAATCATAATGGTTGATTACGGTAGTCAGACAATCCATGCGTTTAAGAAAGTTATTACAAAGGAACACATTACACCAGGGGCTATTATTGATATTTCTGAAAACGGATTTGTGGTATATATTTGTATCAAAGGAAATCCAGCGGAATATGTAAAAAAGAAAGGTATGGATGAAGTTTCAAATATATTTGGAAGTTCTTTGACTTCTGAGTGTACAGGCCTATAAGAAAAAGTTTTCTGTTTTCTGGCGACAAAATTTGACCGCAATAGAAGACCATCCTTTAGAATTTGACTTGTCGGGCAAAGTAGAAGACCAGGTGGTCTTCTATTATGGGAAGGGGTTTAAAAGATTTCAAGAGGGATTTTCCTTGAAAAAAAGACAATACAATTTTTTAGTGTGAGTTGTTACGTGGAGTTCTGTTTTCTTTCTTTCTTCTGCATTGTTTCAAGCAATCTTGAAAAAAAGGGGAACAATGTTATGTAATGTTGAAGAACGAGAAAAAGAGGTTATTTCAGATGCTTAATATATATATATATATATATAAAGTCCTCCATAAATGAAAGAAATTAAAATTGTCTCTTAAGGAGACAATGATTTAAATTACTCTGTTCAAATATTTTCTAGGATCAAATGAAAGGTATTGTCGAGTATATAATCCTGAAGTCCAACCACAAATGTCGACTCTACGTCTGACTGTTTGTACAAAAAATATACTTGGTAAAAAACTACGCATTGTAGACACAGCAGCAAGAAATGTAAAACAAACATTGGAAAATTTTATCAGTTTCTTTCAATCAAATAAAATTCCGGTTTATTTTGCCTCAATTCAGTTCAACAGAAGTGAATCAATTGTTAATTATCAACAGCACAAAGAACGATTCCGAACATTTATACAAAGTTATTCATATAAAATGTTATTAACTATTGGTGGTTGTCGTCTTCAACAAAAGATGACATATTATGTCATTCAACAATTGTTAGCATTAGAAAATAATGATGAATTATTTTATTATGTTTGTTTACGTTTGATTCGTTATGCATCAAAAAATTATTTTCTTGATGATATAGCCAATGAAATTAAAAATATCTTAGAGTATTATAATGAATTTTACATTCACAGCCTTTTTTATCAATTAGAAAAATCATTTGAAATGATACCACATATTGTAATAACACCAACAATAATTAAATTTTATCCATTTAAATTTGCTAAATCAAATCGGGTACTCCGAGCCACGGACAAATTTGGTGGGATCCAGAATTTTGCAGTCGTCGAATTTAGAGATGATAACGGGACTCAACTTCAAACAAGAAATTTTTCTGATGTTATACAATTATTTGACAATTATCTTGATAAAGAACATGGGCTACAAATTGGTGATCGAGTTTATATATATTTTCATCATGCACAATCTCAATTAAAACAAAAACAATTCTATTTCTACTATCATGATGAACAAAAAGGATTTCTCTCAGTTGAAGATGGTTATGCATGGATGGGCGATTTCACAAGTATACGAGTTCCAGCTAGATATGCTGCACGAATGTCACAATGCTTCTCTACTACCGAAGCAACCATTCGTGTAAGTTAAAACAAAACAGTAGCTACAAATGTGTTGACTATACAGCTTGCTTCGTTTTTCTAGATTCCAGCTGAAGCTGTTTTATATATTCGTGATCTATTAAGTTCTGATGGCAAATATATATTTTCTGATGGAGTAGGACGAATATCGAGTCGACTAATAAAAAAGGTAGTATTTCCTAGCCTGGAATGTATGATTAATACACTATCTTTTGTCGCTTTTCAGATACATGACTATATGGGTTGGGAAGGCGCTATTTCAAATGTAATACAAATTCGATATGGTGGATGTAAAGGTACATTAGTATGCGATCCGAGTTTAGATGAAGAAGAAAAGCAAGTCTTAATACGGGATAGTATGAGAAAATTTAACAGTGAGGATGATACATTAGAAATATGCAAGCGATCTATACCACGTAAGTTGGAGAATGTTTAACTGTTTTTAAAGAAAAAGAGGAATTATGGATAAATATTAGACTACAAAGCCAAGGAAATACGAAAAAATTGTGAGATGACAATAACGTTATTTGCATTAGCTATACACAAGATAAAAGGTTGTCCTAGATCGTTCCTTTTCTAACGTAAATTAACTAGAGGTACAATTTAACCTATCCATTAGATTTAGTTCCTCAACACCGTGTGTATAGGAGTTTAATCTTTGAGCTGCTCATCTCTACTCTGTCACAATGCTTTTTATCGTTTCAGGACCGGTTTATTTGAATCGGCAGACTATTATTCTTCTATCAAATAGATTAATAGGAGATTCTATATTTTTTATATTACAATTAAAGAATATTTTATGGTTAATTAAGTCATTAATTTCAACTGCACCAGCAATTAAATTAATGCATGAAAAAGTTCTTCGAGTCTTTCCATTAGAAGAACTTTCAAAACATCCAGCTTTATATAACGAACCATTCTTTCAACAATTGGTTTCTACAACATGTCGAAATGTTATTTTTACGCTCAAAAATCGAGCACATATCCCTATTGATATATTCAAAGGACGCTACATGTTTGGTATTGTTGATGAATATGGTATTCTCAAACCGGGACAGGCTTTCGTCCAATATACCAATATGAATGATCGAACAGCGACAACAACCTTGAATAATCAAAAAGTAGTGGTATCGAAGAATCCCTGCCATCATCCAGGCGATTTGAGAACCTTTGAAGCTGTTGATGTACCACAGTTACGACATTTGACAGATTGTATCATTTTTCCACAACATGGTTCGAGACCACATCCACATGAAATAGCTGGTAGTGATCTCGATGGTGATGAATACACGGTTATATGGGATCAAGATTTAGTTCCTTTACTAACCGGAAATTTTGAACCATATGAATATGATTCAGATATAAAACCGATAAAATTAGATCGTCCAATAATACGAAAAGATATAAAAGACATTATTTTATCAATATGTCAACAGGACAATTTAGGACGTCTAAGCAAAATGCATTTAGCTTATGTTGATAAATTTGGTGTTATTGATTCTCGATCTAAAGATTTAGCAGCGGGTATTAGTAAAGAACTTGATTCAGTTAAGAATGGTTATCATCCGTATACTGAAGCACAAATTACTGATTTACAAAATGAACTCGGCATAACAAGACCTGATTATACGGAATACGATAATTATGAATCATATCCTTCTAAACATATACTTGGTAGGTTTAACAAATGTGTTAGTTTGTAAAGGGCAGTGTATATTTCAAGGGGGACAAAACTAATTGGAAGATTTTAAAAGATTTGGAGGGATTTGAACAAGATTTAGGGAGATTTTAGAAATTCAAATCACTTTTATCCCTTAGAAGGCAAGGGGGAAAATTGATTTGAAGATCTGAAAGGTTTGGATTGATTCAAATGAGTTTTGTCCCCCTTGGTATATCTTGATGACAAATAAAATGTCTGTTACTTCGAAGAAAATATAAATTTCTCCTTTCCAGTTTTCTTTCGTGTGTTTTACAAGTTGATTTTATATTACAGGTAAACTCTATCGATCAGTAAATCGATTCTTGCCCACATTTAAAACGATTAATCACGATGTTATCAAATATGACAAAGCATTTATATATGGCAATTGGCAAAACTACATAGTAGAAGCTACCGCTTTATTCAAGAGTTATCAATCAGAACTATTTGAAATAATATATGCACATAATTTCGATAATGAAATTGATCTATTTTGTTGCTGTGAATCTCAAAATATAAATAATAATGATCGATCTGAAATTCAAGCAACAGCTCAACAATTACTCTCTAAATTATTTAAATATATATTAGAAAAATTTAATAATGAATTAGATGCATCACATCTTAAAGCAGATTGTGTATGTTCACAATGTCAACAACAAATGGCAAAAGCGTCTGCTTGTTACATCATCTGCTATTTGGAAGTGAATCGTTCTAATGATAATAAAAAACGAATTTTAAGTTTCCCTTGGATATTCACGTCATGGTTGATCAAAATGAAGAAAATCACACATAACGATGAAGAACAACTAGAAAAACATCTCTATAGCATTCCAATGAAATTCAAAATATATTCTAAATATTATAGTAGCAATGAAAGTTTTGTTTATATGAAAAACAATCTAACAAAACAATATCAGATAATAATAGTTTCTTATGAAAGAATTAAATTTATTGAAATTATTCATAATTGGTTACATCAACAAGAAATATTTGGTAATAAATATGATGAATGTTCTCCGAAACCAGTGATACCAAACTCATGTTGGGAAGAAATTAAAACAAAATTCATCTCATCATCAGTGATGAATAATAATATTCATGATAATCCACATCAATGGAATGTTGTATTCGAAAAAGAAAAACAAACATCATATCGAATTAATTACAAAATAAATAATGAAGACTATTATCCAATGTATTATGAATTGTTAGATATTTGTTTTGCTGATACAATTGCTAGAGATGACATACATCTAGCACTGCTGAGTGACTATATCATGCAGGGCTTCTTAAATATGACTCTTGAACATTAACTGAAATAAAATTCCAAAACCGATAATGGTAAAATTTATTAGAAAGGAGCACGTTTCACTATGGTCAAGAAAACAGTATTCATTGTATTTTTTTAATCGTTTGGTTATGCAAATGTTATGCAGTCAACATTTCGGATTTTAACAAAATCAAAAGCCGTGTTCGACGACACCATCTTTTGATCTTCTTCAAAGCCAAAATATTGATTGCATAACATTTGCATTTCCGTTTTCCTTCCTATTCTCGTTTTATTTATGCAAGTTAACCTAGAAACAAAACAGTTACCGTTATTCTTGATAAAAACAAATGTTTTAGATAAAGCCGATGTATATGTTTAGCGGGATATGATTCATAATTATCGTATTCCGTATAATCAGGTCTTGTTATACTGAGTTCATTTTGTAAATCAGTAATTCGTGCTTCAGTATACGGATGATAACCATTCTTAACTGAATCAAGTTCTTTACTACGGAGTTAGATATAAAGGACGAGTATAATTTTACGAAGAGACGCGAAAAAAGTTTCGACATTTTTCTTTTTGATAAGTGTCAAGAGTGATATTTCAAAGGGAATATTGGCTCAAACAAAGCGCCATTTTTCCAAGATGTCAAATGTGCTTAATTTTTAATACTAACGGCTAAATCTTTAACACTAAATTTATCAACATAAGCTAAATGCATTTTGCTTACGAGGAACCACTCGAGGTTATAAATCGATTTCGGGTTGGGACTATTTTTGTTAGAAAGGCTCTAAGGAGTAGTGAAATACCCAACTTGGTTCATCCCCATGGTTCTCTGTTGCTGAGATACTGATTTTTTAGTCAGTTTTTGCCTATAGAGCCTGGATTTCGAGTAAAATCAGACTTTCGAATTTTGATTTCAAACTTGCTACACTTGTAGCTCATGGTCATAGTAGTATGGTGGAAAAATATGTGGTGCGTTAGATATAAAGGCAAAAAGGCAGAAACTTTGAATTCCATGTTTTATTTTTTCTGTTGCAAGTCATTCTTATGTCTGAACTTTTATTATGGACCATGCTATGTTACCAAAATAAAAAGAAAGAAAGAAAGTTTGAAATTAAAACTTCAGCAACAAAGCACCATGAACCAAGTTGGGACTACTCGTTAAGGCCTTTCTAACAAAACTAGTCCCAACCCGAATCGATTTATAACCTCGAGTGGTTCCCTCGTTAGACGTCCTAAATTATCCTGTTGACATATTGATAAAACGACATCTTTTATATCGATATCTAGATTTTGTTGTTAATTCCCAGTAAATGTTGATTTTCTGTATACGGTTGTAACAAATACTAATCATCCTTTTTGACTAAAACATCTGGGAATGGAACTTTATCGTTTTCTTCATACTCGACAAGAAAGTTAATTTTTTTATGAATATTATTTAACCAATGTAATAGGTTTTCTATATAGATTTTACTACTATTCATCATAAGAGAAATATCGTCCACATATAAGTACCAGATGTCAGGTTATTTTACCGAAGCTTTTTTCATTTTATCTTCAACATGGCACATAAAAATATTTGCTAAGATAGGGGGCTAATGGTGAGCCCATGGACACACCATCTAATTGTGCATACTATTGATCATAAAATCGAAAATATACATTCTTTACTGCTAAAATAAATAAATTATTCCAGTCGATTTTTGTTTTTTTATAATCTTTATTTATTTATTGATGAGACAAATGCTTGTTAATTTCGTAAATTTCTTATTCTCCTGTTTCTCATTCATAATTAACTTAGTTGCTAAAGAAATAACTTCATCAACTGGTACATTTATTAAACAATGGTTTCACGTCGAAACTGGCTATAATATCATTCTGTTCATAAATGGTGCTTTGCATTGTTTCAGCAAACGAAAATGTGTCTTTAAGAGCCATTGCACGTAAGCCACGACCGACGTTCTTCAATCGATGTCTTCAAAACTTTTCCAAAGTAGGGAGCACTTGTAGACAAAACATTTTAATGAATTTTAGTAAAAGGCGCAAATCAAAAAGCTTTTTGTTGCTGATCTACTGATATTTTACGAAAAGCCCCAGAAAACGTAATTTCCGCTATCTTAAAAATTTGCCAACTTTAAACTCTTGTAATTCAGTAACAACAGGTTACTTAACCTTGGCGATTTCCTCATAAATAGTAGACAGTGTGAGCTACAAAACCACGCACCCGCGAGCTCAAAATACGCTTTCGTTATTTTGTAATAGATGGCGCACTAAGAAATAGTAGAAATATCTAGAAAACCCTGAGTTTTGCTGTGGCACCCATTTGAAACAAAGCCAACCGTGAGACTTTCAACCGTATTTCCAAATAGATTATATGGCAAAGTATATTTGGTAAAAGTTTGACGGTCTCCGGTGCTTTCGTTTTCAATACAGACGCCTTGAAAGTTGCAATTCTGCCCAAAAATGATCATTTTGGGCGATTTTTAGAAATGATTTTCTCCATGGCAACGGGGCGATTCTGAAGCTCGCTAGTATACTGCTGAAGTGCACCAAGTGTACTATTATAGTCCATCCTGCGATTTGTGGGTTTCGCTATATTGGCTTCTGGGGCTCGATCGGGGGCACCGATTTCTGGAGGCTTGCTTCAATCAGCATATTTCTGCTACAGTATATTAAAATTTCAATAAAAACCAGTTTGATATGCAACTTTTCACAAGGAATCCAACGTGTAATGCAACAACAAGTTAATTCTAGTATTAATGTGGTCCTATGTGCGAGTTCCACCGAGTGTACTTCTAATAGGTTCCCCTCTGATGGATTTTCATATGCCGGTCAGTGCTTTCTGAATAACTCAAGAACGAAATGCGATAGACACTTCTGGTTTTTGCGATTCAATAGCCAGGACTTTAAACTATCTTTTTGTAACTAAAACAAAGCTGAAAGTACTTGTCAGTGACCGGTTTTCCAGGAGATCTTTAGAAACCGTTTTATAACTCTAAACGACAAACTAGCAATAAATTGGTTTTCGTATGAGTAAATAGCCTGAAGTGTCCTTTTTAAAATCGGAGCCAAGCGAAACTTTGATTTTGAGTAATTTAGACGTGGTATCTGATTTTCATGGAGCATCAGGGCTGACACTCATTGACTTCCAGTAACCTTGAAAGAAGAGAAGTTCATAATCGACCATGCTAAATCTGATGAAGGCCTTTATTTTATTATACTGTATGTCAGTCTTCCTCTTTTGAGGTTACTGGACACTAGATATCGAACATAATCTAGATATTGATATAAAACATCTTGTTTTATCAATATGTCTACAAGACAGTTTATGGTGTCGAACCAAAATGCATTGAGTTTATGTTAATAAACCTATACAGAGATATAATTAAATATGCTGATAACAATTGCTTCTTTGTTTAAGGTGGAAAATTTTATAATAGAAATCAAGACTAAAGTCACCTTTTTCATGTTGAAATAACTATTTCAAATGAGACGTTTCGTCTTTATTCTAGCGACATCAGCAGTCAACTGATGTACAAAAAGTCACTTTTAACATAGGAAAAGACAATTAAACACTTGTAGAACAGTAAAATATTTTTCCCTTTCTCTGTCCTTCTAGATCATATCTAGTATGATTCATCTTAAAAACATTCAATATAAAAGTCTTTTGAGAATATACAGTTCTTACTTCCTTTTTTGTATGAATGTCCATGAGCAGACTGTCTTTTATCTCTCTCTTTAATTTATGAGATTCTATAGCGAGTATTCCTGAATTCCAACTAGTACGATGTCCACTCGCCCACTTATGAAAAGCAATCCTTGAGAAACCTTGCACATAAAATGCTTGCTGTTGTTCTTCTCTCTTGTATGATTTGTAACACGGAAGAGAGAGTGTGTCCAACTTTAAAACCATTGTCACCTTTTTCATCGGGTGATAAAGAGGTTTTTTCAATTGATTTGTTAGGATTAATGAGCGTTCTTCATAATAAGGCATAGAAAAATATTATCGTTTTCGATTAGGCTCGATACGTTTTCTGTATGGTTTTGTTTAATCTAATTCCTCGTATCATCTTCGTTACTATGCTCAACCGATAGCCATTCGTAATACGAATGGCTATAGAAAAAGATCCACATCTGTTTTCCTTATCTTGTTTTGTGTTTCCTTCTGTTCTTTCTCTCGCTGTTGTTCATATGTTTTTGAAATTCCCTAGCCAAAAAGTTATTTCTGTTTTCTTAATTAACCCATACTGCTGCTGAACTAATCTTTAGCAAAGCTTTTACTATGTTTTTGCCACAACAAAACTGAATTGAGTCTAAAAAGAATTCAGAGTCGGGGTCGAGTCGGACAGTCCAGGAAAGACTACCACCCGGGCCAACCGATTCGCATGATGGGTCGAGCAGGCCTCGACTTTTCATGGCCCGGCTTGTTCCGGGCGGGCCATCAAAAATTCACCCGATTAGGCATGCACCAGTTCCAATCTTAGGCTTGGAGGATTGGGACCAGTTAGGCTTGGTACCAATCCCAACAATCTCCAGTTAGGCTTGGTACCGATCCTAACAATCTCCAGTTAGGCTTGGTATCAGTCGGATTGGTCGACCAGTTAGGCTTCGTCGAATGCAGTAGGCAAGAGCTTCACCGTACAACCTATGGTGTAACCGTCATTGCACTATGCGTTTAGAGTAATTGTTTTTGTGCTTCTGTTTTACTTCAAAGAAGATCACTCTCTCAGAAGTGTATTCTTATTTTTCTGTTGACGAGGTTTATTTTGTCCACTTATTTTAGTCCACTAGCCGCAGTTTCAAACTTTTTTATATTAATAGACAGCTTCACTTCCACCATCGCGTATGAAAATGTCTTGTCTTACAGTTAGTGTCGTTAACCCGATGACTCATCATTTTACAGTCTAATTTTGCGGTATCGCCATCTAGTGCTAATTTGCCTTTGTTGATTTCGAAACTCTGCTAAATTAAACAGTCGTCTAAACGTTTATGTCACTTTCAGGTCTTAAAAGACGGTTGAGTGATTTTATAAGAAATCCC